GGGGACCCAGGACCACTAGCTCCTAACTGTTTGCCTGCCTGCTTACCTGATCGCCCCTAACCCCTCTCCCTGCCTGCCTGATCACCCCTAACTGCTCCCCTGGCAGATTGATGGCCCCTAACCTCCTCTGCCTTGGCCCCCGCCACTGTGGCTTTGTCTGGAAGGATGTCCAGAAGGATGTCCAGAAGATGTCTGGTCTAATTAGCATATTACCCTTTTATTAGTATAGATAGGCATAATTTTACATACAAGCCACTTGTAATGTTGTCAGAATTTATCTATCTATCTATCTACCTACCTACCTACCTACCTACCTACCTATCCATCTATCCTAAACAACTGTTTCTCTGGTTGCTATGATGCGCACTGACCAACAGGGGGAAGATGCTCAATGCACAGGCATGGAAACATGGAACAGATTGGTGAATCTAAGGGGAGAGGAGGAAGGGTGAGAAGAGATTAACCAAAGAACTTACATGCATACTAGAGGCCCGGTGCACAGAGTCATGCACCAGTGTGGTCCCTTGGCCTGGCCTTTGGGGATCAGGCCGAAACCTGCAGTTCAACATCCCCTGAGGGGTCTTGTACACGGGGCCTCTAGTCTTATGGAGAAATGCAGACTAGATACAGTAAAAACCAGATGAGTGACTGCTTTCTAAAGACAGCTCTGTCCTCTGTCTTATTGAAGTCCCTCACCTCCATTGAATGTATTACTGTTGGATTATATTTACAGAGTTTTTTTTTTAGCAGTGTGAGAAAACTTGTCTTATAGAGAACCTCAAAAAATAAAACAAGTTTTACAATGAACTATTTTGGTTAAGGTGTGACCAGTTGGAGCAGGGGTAGCACTGGGAATCTCAGCTTCCTGGTCTCTTTTTCTCCTACTTGACCAGATCATGGGCCCCTCTGAAGAGCATAGTATGAAAGTACTGTAGTTACACACACACACACACACACACACACGGGTTTCCAACCCTGAGGACTTCTGGCAACCGATCATTTGTTGACCAGTTATGTCAATGCTTTTCCGACCTTCTTGGCTTGGAATGTTTCTTAAAGAATAATGCATACTTGCGTTTTTTGTTGTTGATTTTTTAACAGGAACAATCTATTCCTGTTATGTGTTCCACATCTACAACTTCTATAAAGATGCTGACCAGAGGCAGAGGTGTTGAATATAAGGATCCCAGTCCTGGGTCATGTAAAATAGTGATGTCTACAGGTAAATTAGTATTTTAAAAGACTATAAAATTACTAATCTTTTATTATGTATTATTTTCAGTATCTTTGAAGTCCTGTAAGTAAAACAATAGGAGAAAAGATAATAATAAACATTTCTTTAAGCATTTTTCATGTTTTTTGAAATTCTGATTGTTCATTTTGATGTTAAGGAAAAAGAGTCTGTTTAAATACATGAGTCACTCAATACTCTTAAAAGTTTTTATCCATCTTAGTAAGATTTATAAAATTTACATTGTCAAATTTATTTTTGTTTTTCCTTTATATCATTTCACAATTTGTACTATTGCTTATATGTATTTTTAAAAGCTACGTCGATCCTTTTTTTAGTGCCTTTTAAAATCTTGACAGATCATTGCCTGTTAAGGGGCATGATGACTTTAAATTGTTCTCTGCTTTGTGAAGAGTATGAAATGACCAGACCCAGACTAATAAATTCCTTTTATTTGTCATCTCCTACACATTCTTTTTTTCCTTTTCTATTTTTTAAAGCATGTTGTGCTTCCTCTCCTAGATCCTTAATGACTCCCCTATACACTTCTGTTCCCTGGACTTTGTACCACTATTTTTCTTTCCTGACTAAAGAGAAATTAAATTTTAAGTTTTTGAAATGAAAATCACTTTTAAAATTGATTACTGCAACATACCTCATTTTATCAGTTTATTATTTCTGATTTTTAGGAGAGACTAGCAAAATGAGTATAATGCAAAGGAGGTTAAGTTTTTTATAGCTGTTTCATTTCTGTGAGAGAGTCCATCTTTTCTGACTATTGCCAAAAAGTTGAATTATGATAAAGTTCAACATAGCAAAGGTGACATTGATGAGTTTTTATTAGACTATGTACATATGAAAATTTTACAATTTAAATTAAGTAATGGGTAACGAATAAAAATAATGTGCTTGAATTTGTTTGGTAATGTACCATCATATTGTTATATTGTTGATTTGTTTATTCTCAGTGAAGAAAAATTGACATTTGGTTATTGTAGATGATTTGCTTCTAAATCATGCTTTTATTATACTAAGGAAAGCATTTATTTTTAAATTTTCTTCAGTGAACCATTGATGAGTTTATTAGACTATGTACATATGAAAATTTTACAATTTAAATTAAGTAATGGGTAACGAATAAAAATAATGTGCTTGAATTTGTTTGGTAATGTACCATCATATTGTTATATTGTTGATTTGTTTATTCTCAGAGAAGAAAAATTGACATTTGGTTATTGTAGATGATTTGCTTCTAAATCATGCTTTTATTATACTAAGGAAAGCATTTATTTTTAAATTTTCTTCAGTGAACC